GATGATGGATGGGTGGGTGGGCAGAGCGGGGGTGATGGGGTGGACAGGCGAATGGGTGGGTAGGTATATGGATGAGTGGGTGAGTGGGTGGCTGGGTGGGTGCATGGGTAGCTGGGTGGACTGAGCGTCTTCTCCACGTTTCCCACTTCCCTCCTTCACCCCACGGCAGCTCTGACGGGTCCTTAGATTGCAAGGGCTCCGCTGCTCACCTTCAAGGCCGCTGCAGTGCCATATATTCCCGGTCCCCTTCCCAGCAGTCCTGAGCCCTGACACCCTCCTGCCCTGGAACCTGGGCCCACAGCCCTAGACTTCTCCCCCGGGACCTCTCCCCAGGGGCAAGCAAAGCCCCGAGCCCACCGCCTCCCCTTGCTCCCGGCGCCTGCATCACTGCCTCTTCACACCAAGGAGCCGAGCCAGGGGCAACTGAAGGACACTTTCCAGATGGCCAGGACCTTCGCCACAAGGGACACAGGGCAGGGCCTCCCTGCCTTCCGCCTGTTGGCAGGGTGGGCACGCAGTGGGGCTGCACACCTGGCTCTGCACACAGCCTGCTCCCCGGGGTCTTGGTAAAACACCCAGCTCCTGACCAGCCCTGACCTGCTGGGCTGCAGCGGCCACTGGATCCTCCAGAGCCCCAGGCGTTTGCTGTGCCGGAGGCCTAGCACTGGAAGGAACCGGGCTTGCCCCAGTGCTTCCAGCAGGGGGCAGTGCGGCCCCACACCCGAGGCATCTACGGAGCACCCCGTCCTTCCTGGGGACCAGCGCGCCCTGGTGTACTGGAGGAGGCTCACCGCCCCTTCTCACCAGGTCGCCAACATTTCCCACACCTCCCTGCAGTCACATGGCCTGCCTGCGGATGGAAGGGACGACCGTCTCCTGTCCCCCAGCTTCAGGTCCCAGCAGGGGGTGGGGAACACAGTGGGTGTCCAAGAATGGTCCCACTCCCCACTGGAGGCCTGAGCCCCCGCCCCCACGCCGGCGTCTCAGGTTACAAACCCCAAGCCTGCTCCGCCTGTCACCGCCTGATTCTGCTGGTGATAAACTTATCAAGCCCAGCATCTCTGGTCCGGAGGGACTGCCCTGAGCCGGTGTTGCCAAGGCAACCAGAGGCAGCACACGGAGGCAAGGCTGGCTTGCCAGGCCTGCGCGGGCAGTCTGGGATTGTGCTGGGCTGGGACTGGGCGGCGCTCACGCCCCTGGCAGTCGCCATCCCCCACGCTTCCCTAGGGGCCCTCCGGCCAGGGCCCTGCACCACCTGAAGCCACCTGCCGCGCAGCCCTGCCTGGTGCTGCCCTGTGGGGTTCCTACAAACCTGCACCTAGGGCCACCAGAGCAGAAGGGGGGGGAGCCTCCCTTCCCCCATCTCCCCAGTGGCCTCTGTCCCACACCCACCATTGTCACATTTCACCCCTGTGCTCTCTCACCTGATACCACCTGCAGGGACCTCCACCCATTCAGGGGATGGACATCGTAGAGGCTGTGCCCTGGTCACAAGGGACATGGAGGTCTGGTTCCAGCCAGCAGCCATGCAGTCCTGCGGGCACTTGGGGTGCAGGAAGACAGCCATGTGCTTCTGGGGCTGACCCTCCCTCCAGACCGAGGAAGAGCCCCACAGAGCTGGGGTGGGCAAGATTTTATAATTGGGGACCAGAGTGAGTCAGGTCAAACGGCACCAGCGGAGAGGCAGCTTGGTGACATTGACAACCTCATCCTGGGCCCACCTGCTCCCCAGAGGGCTGGCCTTGGCCCTACACGCTGTCCCTGGGGATGTGATGCAGCAGCCCTGACCCCCTGCGGCTAGAGGGCTCACCAAGCCCCTCAGTCATGGGCTTGGATCTGTAGTGCTTCAGGCAGTCATGCCTGTCCCACAGGATCTCCGGCACCAGCTGTCAGCCAGGCAGGTGCCCAGGGCAGGTCGGTCACCCTCAAGCACCCCTAGGGGAGAATGTGAGCACGCGGCCCTGCCTCCCCTTGGGCGGCTGGCTGGGCCTGATCTTCGATCTTCCCTCCCCCACCCCGGACAGCATGTTCTCGGAGGCTGAGTGAAGTGCATCTGTGCATGGGTGTACATGAGTGTGCAGATGTGTGCACGTGCAGTGTCTGCACAACTGCACATGTGCACGAGTGCAGGTGCATGTGTCTGCAAATGTGCACGTGTCTGCATGTGCACAAATATGCATCCAAGTGCAGCTGTATGCGCCTGTACAAGTGTCTGTACAGGTCATGTGTGCAGTCTACGTGCACGAAGACGTGTGTATGTGCGTGGGGGCAACGGCCTTGGGGAGCCTCTGCCAGTGCAGCCTCACCAGAGGGCTGCCCTGGCTCTGGGCTTCGCTCCAGTGCCACGTGTCCAGCACCACAGGGCAGGACCCAGGCCTTCGAGGCCCCACTCCCAGCTGCAGGTGCCCCATGCCTCCCCACGAGGAAGCCCAGCAAGAAGAGCTGCAGGAGCACTGTCACCAACTCGGGGCTTGGGGCAGCCCAGCTTCCAGACAGCGTGGAGACAAAGGGCACTTATCATGGGGGATGGCACGGATGGGCGTCATTAACCTGTTATTAATCGGGCAGTCAGATGACATCATTAGTTTTGTGGTCCTCTGGGTGAAGCTCCGGCCCGCTCGGGCAGCATGGACACAGGGGCTGGGCACAGGCAACACGTGGGCTCTGTGAGTGGCCACATGCCTGGTGCCCGCACGCAGGAGCAGGAGGGAGGCATCTCAGGACCCCCGACCAGCCAGGCCCTGGGGGGCGTTGCAGAGGGACCGACGGGGAGGGAGACTGCGCAGCAGGAAGGCAGCCAGGCAGAGGCAGGCACGGGCAGGACAGGGCCAACTGCAGGCCCCACGGCCCGGGGGACACCGGCTCCCCACCCTGTGCTTCTGGGACGCCCGGATCCAAACAGGACACTCCACGCAGAACAAATGAGAATGGAACGGAGATGTATTTGAAACGCTCATTCTGTTTCCCCTCTCGAGCTTTTCTCTGTGTCTCTTCCACAAGCCCAGCACCTTTGCCGGTCTGCCCACGGCGTCCGCGCCTTGATGTTGCAGAGAACAATTTCGGAGGGAAGGAATTTCACAGTCAAACAGTCTCGGAGGTTGGCCGGCAGGGAGGTCAGCGCAGCTCCAAGCACAGGGGAGGGGCCAAGAGCGCCCTGGGCCCTCGCCACCTCCACCCCTGCCCAGGAGAAGCGCCACAGGCAGGGGTCCGCCAGAGCCTCCCCCCGCCCCGCATCCCACCCGCACCTCTAGAAGCAGAAACAAAACAAGCCCCACCCCGCCACATCATCCAGTATATGTGAGGGATAAAATTACATTTGTACAAAAATAGATTTTTTTTTACCTTTCCCGATGCTTTAGACATTTTCTTATCTCTCTCTCCTTGCGGATGTGACATCCCTAAAGCATTAGCGAGCTTCCCGGCTAAGGCATTGCTAGGGGTTGGGACTGCCAAAGCTGCCGCTCCCCGGCATCTTAAAATAGATGCATCTCCTGCCTCGAGATACGCATTCGAACCCAGATTTCACCAAAGGAGGGGTCCTCAGGTGCTTGCTTACAGGAAGCAAATTTACAGGGAAATGGGGAAAAGTCTTGATTAAAAATAAACACGAAACATTGGTAACTGCGACACGGCTCCTCGCACACAGCGCCTCTGTACAGCACATACATGTTTACACCGCACACCCGCATGTACAGGGACCAGGCCACGCGCCCCAGTTCCGTGGTGGGGACGACATCAGCCAATGATCCCCGGCCGGCCCGCCTGGGTGTCCTCTGCCACCCTCTCACCAGGCGCCAGCCTGGGATCCCTGGAGACCGCTAAGGGCTGGGGAAGCTGCACGCCTGGGGCTAGTCTCCCGGAGACTGTGTGCTTCCAGCGTGATGAGGGCCCGTCTGGGTGCCAGGTGCCAAGCAGGCCACGGGAGCCAGTGTGAATGTCCACGCAGGAAGGCGACACGGCAGCAGGGTGGTCACAGGCCCGGCCGAGGCAGGGACGGACACGGGATGGCCGAGGAGCTGATGTCAGTGCTATCTTTAGAAAATTAAAGACTGTCCCACTAAAATATAATAATAATTATAATTACAAAAAAATCACCTTATCTGCGCCAGATTGGTAGCATGGCTGAAGGCCTGGTTGAAGAGCTGCCCCACCTCCCCACGGCCCACCCCGCAGGCGAGCGGCAGTGGACACACAGTGGCCGTGACGGAACTAACAAGAAGGGGACAGGAAGCCGCAGGAAGAGCAGCAGGAAGTGGGTGGCAGGTAAGGCTGCACCAGAGGGCTCGGGGTTCTGGCTTCGGGGCTGGCAGCCAGCCAGGCCCAGGGAGGGAGGGCACACGTCACTGAGAAGACTTCTGTCCCTAGGTCTTCTCTGCTGGAGCCGTGGCATTCCCAAGGGGTGCGCAGGCGCCCAGGGACACTGCATATGGCGGGGGGCACGGGTGACGTGATGATGGGGCACACCGGGCTGCAGACGGCACCGAGCTGACTGTGGGGCGGGACCGAGTGCCTGCGAAGCTCTGCCTGGTGCCATCGTGCCGACTGGACACATCTGTCCCTCCAACAGCCTGGAGGCTGCCTCCTCCTGCCTGCCGCCTCCTACCCAGCTCCCACAGGACCCCCGCTGCCAACAGGGGCACCCCAGGCCCCGGCCCAGGGCTGCTCGTGGAGGGACAAAGCCCCTCCCTGCCCCTGAGTTCCCCGCCCACCCAGCTGCCCGCTCGGGCGCCTGCTATGCTTAACCCTGGGGCTCCGGCCTGCAGTGGGCTCGGCTGGCTGGGCAGGGTTTCCAAGAGCTGTGGGAGCTGGAGCCCCAGCTAGGACCCTGGGCAGATGTCACCCACAAACTGCACTGCACTGGGGCCCACGAGGCCAGCAGAGTCCTCCAAACAGACGTGGAGGGCAGAGAAGGAAGATGCCCCTGCCCCTGCCCCTGCCCCTACCCACACGGCTCATTCTCCCAGAAGCCCCTCTGGCTCCCAACACCTCCTGTGTCCCTGGGGGAACCCAACCGGCATCTCTCCCCTCCCCGGGACAGTGACTCCAGCACGGGAGTCAGCAAAACCCAGGCAGGGGTACCCCGCATGGTGCATGGTGACCTTGGAGCACCCCAGGCTGAGCAGGCGCGCATGGCAGGGAGAAGACACAACCAGGACGACACAAGAGGACACCAAGGGGGGGCAACGGCACCCGCAGTCTCTGCGGGGTTGTGGTGGCCCCAAAACACTGTGGAGAGGTTGGCTTGTGTTCTCAGTGGCTGGGGCGAGCTCACCAGTTTTCTTTGGAAAGCAGAGCTGCTCACCCTCCACTCCATGCAAAGGGAGCCCCGTGGCCCCGGAGGTCCCCTCTGGGCTCCAGCGGGTGGGCAGTGAGGCCTCCTGCAGTAAGATCCTGGCTGGCACCCACCTGCCCTTGTCTCTGTCTCGGGGTGAGCCCTCACGGCTGTCAAGGACAGGTCCCTCCAATCAGGGGCAGAAGAGGGAGGTTTGAAGACCAGCAAGTATAAACAGCAACAAACAAGCCCCCTCCCCAGGGCCTGCACCCCCCCCCGGGTGCCTGCAAGACCCGGTGGGGAGGGCCCCGGCTGGGTCTCAGCTGCTTCCGCTGCCCCGAAAGCCCTGGTCCCAGGCCACAGACGAGCAGCAACAAAGATGACAGGGATGGCAACATCCCTCGGGACCACAGTGACACACGGCGCCCAAAGGTCCACACAGGCCAGGCGGGGAAGGGCAGGGACGGGGCGCAGGTGGGCAGGCGGCCACTCCGCTCGCCTAGGTCATCTGGTGCGGAGCCTCCAGCATCTCCATGAGGAAGGTGTCGATGGGCGTGTCCCCGATGAGTTTGAAGAAGAAGAGGTGCTCCAGGCACTTGAGCCCGATGGAGCGCAGGGCCGGCAGCCGGAGCAGCAGCTTGGCGAACCTGCGCGAGTGGAGAGCAGGGAGGTCGGCAGGGGGGCGGGCACGCACCCTCTCCCGCAGTGCCCGGTGGCCTCCGGGCCCAGCAGGACCTGCGGGGAGTCACAAATGCGGGCAACGGGGAGCCACAGGACAGCTGTAAGCAGGGGAAAGCACAGTGAGAGGGGTCTGAGGACCAGACGCCTCTGCTGCAGCTGCCGCCCCTGAGAGATGAGGGCCTCCCTAGGAGGCTAGGCCAGGAGGACGCAAAAGGGGGCCCCCAGGAGCCGAGGAGGCATCCTGGGGAGCTGGGGGGAACCCAGGGCACCCACGGCAGACCAGAGAGAGGGCAGTGCAGCGCAGAGACCGGCCAGCATCCTGGGACACCCGCATCTGTCCCGGCCTCCCCCTGTACCCAGGTCTCCCCACAGGACCCCAAGGGGCATTCCCAGTGCCCCTCCCTTCCCAGGGAGGAAGCCCTGTGGCCGGCTGCCTCCCGACGCAGTTTTAAAAGCAGGAACGTAGCCTGGAGGCTGGACCCGGGCCAGAGAAAAAGCCGTTTTCTGCTGAGCTGGCGAGATGGGCTGCGGCAGGAAGCCAGGACAAACAAGCCGCTGCCACCCCTCCTGCCTCATCCTCTGGGAAGCTCACTCTAACCTAAACCAGATGAGGCCAGCGGACGCGGTTAACCGTGTGTGTGCCAGTCGGCAGAGCGGGCAGGGTGCCCCACCTGCCCAGCCCTGCACACCTGGCCTCAGGTCGGGAGGCAGGAAGCGCCCCTCAGAGAGAAGGGGCAGAACCCGGACAGCACACGGAATCCCGGGCCACCAGCCTCTCCTCAGCACTACGGACGGGGGAGAGAGGATGCCGGGTCTCTGGGGCTCTGCCTCTGGCCATTTACTGTCCACGTCTGTAAAGTACCCACTATGCGCGGGCACCAGCAGGCCGCTGCTGGGTGCACTTCACAGGGTACGTGCCTCGCAGCTCACAGTTGGGCACCTCTGGCCTCACTCACAGAACGCAGCTCTGCAGCCACAGGGTGGGCACGGCTCACAACGCCCGCGGGGTCCGTCCACGCCCAGGGGTGCTCACCGGCCCGGCTGCTCCGGGTACTTGTGTTTGCAGTAGGCCTCCAGCGACGCGTACACCTTCTCCCTCAGCGCCTCCACCTCGGCGGGGTTCGAGAGCCCTTTGGAGTCTGCAGAGAGGAGTGGCCCCAGTTCAGAGCCCTGGGCAGGTGTGACGCCCCTCGATTCTGCCTGCGGGGCCTCAGGCCCACCTACCAGCCACCCCACACCGGAGAAGCAGGAAGCACGCGCAGGCACATGGGACACGGCTGACCCCACGGGGCCCCGACGCAGCGAGAGCACGAGGCAGCCGCTTTGGGTGTGAGCCCGCTCTGCCCCTCAAAAGCCACGCAGCCTCGGTCCAGTCCCTGACCTCCACATCTGTACAAAGAAGGGACTCTGTTCCCCTTGTTGCTGTGGTAACCAGGATAGGCCATGATGCTTTGGTCCATGCCCAGGCCTTCCTGGTACATCAGGGCCCTGGGCCAACCCACAGAGGACTAGCCTGGCGCTCAGCCTGTGAGCTAGAGGGGCCAGGACTCACGGGGCCTCCTGGCCACTATCCAGGACTATCGTGGGGTGGCCGCTGTCCGTGCTTAACCACCCACTGCAGGCAGAGGTGAGCTTCGAACACAGGCCCTGCTCCCTTCCTACCCACACCCTACACGCCGCCCCCCAGCACCCTATGCACACTCCACTCTTCTCGGACCTCACCCCACCTAGGGCTGCATCCTCACACTTGGCCACACCAGCCCTGCCACTGCATGGCCATGGCCCCGTGGCTGGAGGTGACCTCGGCCACCCCAGGACACCTAGCAGGCCCAACGTGGTCCAGGACAGGCGGGGATGCCGACGTGCCGCTCTCTGGAAGGGACTAGTGACAAGCACCTTCCCTGGCCCTGAGGACAGCGCTGGCCCCTCGGCCGGTCCAGCAGCAAGTGGAAGGTGGCAAGCTGCTTCCCACCGGGAGTGACCACAGCGGGTCATGGCGCAGGCACATGGGAGGCGCGGGCGGCTGCTCGGCCGCGGGCCGTACCGGGGTTGAAGAGGACGATGGCGCGCAGGCAGCCCAGCTCCGTCTTGTCCATCTGCATGTCCCGCATCTTGGACACCAGTTCTGTCAACACCCTGCAGGACAGGAAAGCCACCCAGTCCAAGTCAGACCACACGCCTGGCCAGACCCACCACAGGAAGCCCCTGGGGACTCGGGAGCCCGAGCGGCCCCACGGGCGGCTGGGACGGGCAAGGCCAGGTGAGCAAGCAGTGTGGGCGGAGCAGAAGCCCCGCACATCTGGCCGCCAGGTCCTGCCCAGGAGTGGGGCCTGCACTGCCCAGGCTGCCTGTGCAATGACACTCCAGGGCCTGGCACTAAAGGGGGACACACGAGGGCTGAGCTAAGAGGAGCCAGGCCTGGAGCCGGAGCTCGACACAGACAAGGCCCAGGCCACCTGCAGGCCAGCTGGTCCCGTCAGCCCGCGGGGAGACGCCCTGGGACACAGACTACCCAGGGGCTGCCGGCAGGAAGGGGTAGGTGCCACTTCACAAGGGGAAACAGTGCCGGTGGCCCCTCAGTGCCCAGGGACACCTCGAGGAACTCCAAGGGGCTCTGAGGGCCCCTCAGCCTGCCGACTGGCGGGAGGGCCCACGGCCCAACCTGAGTGGCACCAGCCCGTCTCATCTTCACGGGCCTCCCCAGCTCCATGGCCCAGCCGACCCCACGGCGTGGCGGTGCTGTCCAGGACATGGCGTGGCTGGGGCTTTGCATGCGCAGCCCTGCACTGCAGAAGCAGAGAGCTGACCCCACGCCCACCCCACCTGTCAAAGATGGCGCCCACCCCTGCGCTGTGGGCACTGTTCCGGTGCACGTGCAGCCCGGTGGCCAGGAGGATCCCGTCCTTCACGGCTATGGACCGGTGGGAGAAGGAGGCGATGAGCAGCTCGTTCCACCCTGCGGACAGGAGGCACACGGTCACTCGGCCACCGTCTCCCAGCCCCGCCAACTCCAGCCCCCTCCTCCCTTCCCACACCCGAGCCAGTGTTCCCAAAGTGGGTTCTGTGGAACCCTCGCCCCATGAAGGGTTCCACAGAAAAGAGGCTCGGGAGCACCTAAGTTTGGGAAGAGCCTCTTTTTCCTGTGGTGAGTGCTGGCCCCGGTAGAATGCAACTAAGAGGAATCTTAGAATGGAGATTCCTCAAAAACTGAAACTAGAAATTCTATTTGACCCAGCTAGTCCCCCTCTAGATATCTTCCTGATAGTCACAGCCTATTTCAGTGATGCACACACACCCGTGTTTATAGCTGCGCAATTCATAACGGCTAAATCTTGGAAGCAGCCTGTATATCCATCAACAGATGAATGGATAAAGAAAATGTGATATTTACACACTATGGAGTACTACTCTGCCATAAACAAGGATAAACTTGAGTCACTTGTAGGAAAATGTAAATACCTTGAGACTGTAAGTTTAAGCGAAATAAATCAGGCACATAAGCTTAAATACCTCGTAGTTTCTCTTACATGAGAAACCCAGAGTATAAATAAAGAGCAAAATGAAAGGCCAACAACAGCAAGCGGAGCTAGATCTTTAGCAAAAGGGACAGGGAGCAAGAGATGAGGGAGGGGCGGGGGAAGGGTTCAGGTGTGTCTTGCACATGTAACAAGCCCCGTGAAGAATGTAAGTACTATGGACTACTAAAACGTAAAACGAGAAAGAAGAGAAAACTGCACACATATTTTAACAGCCTCTGTAAACTGGATGACACATGGTCATCTCAGGACAAGGAGTGTGACGGGGGCCGGGGATCTGGCTCAGCAGCACAGCACCTGCCTGGCAAGTGCAAGGTCTTGAGTTCGATTCCCAGTACCAAAAAAAAAGAAGTGTGTCGGGTCACTGGCAAACTCTCCTGGCGTCCAGGTCAGTGCTACACTGTCCTCTCCATCCCTACTGCAGTCCTCAGTGCAGGGCCCGGGGTGACCGAGGCCCAGGACCTGGCCATCAGCATGGGCAGCCAGGACCCTGACAGACACACTCAGAAACGTGACCCTAGGTCCACACAGCAACCTAGAGCTGAGCTCAGGGGGCTGGTGCTGGCCAGGTGGCCAAGGCGCTGACCCAGGCTGCCACTCCCAGGGATGGCCATGTCCTGGTGCATGAGCCACCAAAACCAAAAAAAGAACAGGGGCCTGAGATGGGCGCCGCTGCCCACTCCTGTGACCACGCGGGCCGTGAGCTGTCGGGAAGGGTGCATGGATCGGCCGGAGAAGCCAGGGCTGGGGCACTGTCAGCCACACTGGCAGCCACCACGCCTGTGGGCACGGCCCTGTCCCAGCCAGGTGCAGGCAGGAAGCCAGGTGACGTGGGGGAGGGGAGGGCTCAAGAGCCAGGACGCCGTCCCCTGGGGCACGAGGGGGCTGGGGAGTCCCTGCCCCAGGGTGCTACGCCCCCAGCCCAGGGCGGGGCCAGATGCAGAACTGAGACAAGCAAGCCCGGGACAAGAGTGTGCAGTGTGGCTGACAAGGCCTGACCCCACCACCGGCAGCACACAAGGCCTCAGAACTGAACAGTGTGTAGGACCAGGGCAAGGTGGGCGGGAGAAGGCCTGACACAGGCACCTGGAAGCTGTGAACGGCCCCTGCCTTGCCTCAGTTTACCTGCTGACAAACAGAAGAGCCAGGTGTGCCTCATAACAAGCCAGAACTGTTTATCACTGAAGGTCCCCTGGACAGCTGCAGCGAGGAGCACACCCCAAATAAGGGGCCCTAACCTGGCAGCCGCAGGTACAGGCCAGGGTGCGCCGGGCCCTGTGCCCTCCCAGCAGCACGGAAAAGTGCAGGTGGACAGCCCCGGGGTGACCACAGAGCACGCCTCAAGCCCGGGCTGCCCAGTGGCTCACATGATGGTGGAAGCCCCATAGAATCTGGGGTCCCGGACCTGAGACCCCATCCCCCAAGGAGGGGAGTGACACTTGCAGTCAATTGCAGCTGGCCAGATCTCGTCCTTGGGATGACCGGGTCCAGCCACCTGACTGCCGTGGGCTTCATATTTTAGGCTTCCATGGCTACCTTGGGGGGCACTGCAGGACCAGGCAGGCCATCTGGCAGGTATGTGAGAGTGTCCGGTATTACCAAGCCTGCCTGGCATGCAGTGCTGCCAGCCCCAACAGAAGGGGCACCCGAGGAAACCGAGGCACGGAGAAGGACACGGCTAAGGTCACACACTGGTGGGCCGCAGAACTGCACTCACTGTCCCCTGCTGGGACCCTGGGATTTAGGCACCTTGAGTGTCTGCTCAGCAGGGACCTGATTCACACTGCACCCGGCAGCCAGGACTCTGGGGCAGCAGGGATGAGCCCAGGGCACGGCTGGGGCAGAAGCCTGTTCTGGGGTGGGAAGCAACCAAGACCCCTTGGAGGAGGCCAAGGGCAGGGTGCAGCGGTCACCCACAGTGGGACGTCACAGGGTGGCTTCCCAGTCATGGGGGATCTCTGCAGGGGACTGGGGACTCAGGCAATCTGGCTCTGGACATAGGAAGGGCCTCAAGGGACCCTGTGCCCAGCCCTGGAGACAGACACCTACACAGAGGCATGGGTTGGCCCAGCCACTGTGCCTGGATGGTCCCTGCACATGGCCACCTGAGGCCAGCACCCCCTCTGCCGTGATCACCCCACAAGGACTGGGGTCACGTGGAAGCTGCTGAAGGCTGAGGTTGCAGGGCAGCTGCCACTAACATTCGGGCACAGCATCCAGCCGACATGAGGCCCATAGGCTGCCCGCTCTGCCCAGCCTGCAGGACCACCTGCAGAGGAGCCGCCGTGGTGTCATGGTTCGGTCTGGGGTGTCCCAGGAAAACCGCGTGTTCAAGGGATGGGGCTTGGGGAGGCAACGGCTGGATCCAATAACGGATTTACTGCTGAGCGTGGTGAGGCAGTGGGGCCTGGCCGGAGGGGCATGGGGGACGCAGCCTGGAAAGGTGCATCTCCCTCCCTGCTTCCCCTTCCTGCCCACTTCCTGGACACCAGGGCGGGAGCAGCTCTCCTCCGCCAGGCCCCTCGAGCTGAGCTCTGCCTTAGAGCTGGCCGACTGTGTGCTGAATCCTGCACCCAAACAAACCTCTCCTGCTTGAAGCTGCGGGTGCTGGGTCCTGTGCCTCAGCAATGAGAAAAGTGACTAAGCCCTGGCGTCCCCGCCTAGTGAGGACAGGCCACCGCCTTCCTTCCAAAGACCTCAGGTGGGCAGGCTCTTGGGCCTGCGGAGCTTGGGATTCTGGCAGAGAGGTGGGGACCTGAAAAGTTCAGGCAAAGCTGAGCAGATGTGTGCCTGGTGGGCAGGAGCCCACCAAATTCTGAAAGACTCACAGCGGGGGACACGCGCCTCGGCCCCAAAGGATGAGAAGTCACCCAGCCAAAGGCAGCGTGATCAGGAACCTGAGATGGGGGAAACCTCAAGTCATCCCAACCTCAGTAAGATCAGAAGTCCTTCCCTGAGGGAGACAGGAAGAACAGGGCCGTGACCCAGCACCTTTCACAACACTCCACACACCACAGGAAGCTGTGACGGCTGAGGCCGGGTACCAAACCTCGGGCACAGCGGCAGAGGGCTGGACAGTCAGGACGTCCAGGCCCCAGGGCAGTGTGGCCTCCGCGCATGGGACAGTCACTAGCACTTTTCTGCAGCCACAGACCCTGTGCACAATGTCCCCCTGGCTTCACAGGCAGGAGACCCAGCAGAAGACCACTCTTAGCCTGCTCCCTGGACATGTGCATCCCGCCAGCCCCCTCTACAGAGGAGGACGCAGCCTGGGGCTCCACTTCCCCCAGGCTTCCATGGCTGGCTTGTCCCCAACCCCCACTACCACCGGCTACCCTACTGTCCATGACCCCACTGTGCCAGCACCTGGCCACTCACCCGCCCGCAGCAAGATGACCTGGTCGTCCAGCGGCAGCTCAGAGAAGTGCGGGACCCGCTTGGCCCACTCCACCAGCGTGAAGAGCTGCTTGTCTGCAGCCTGGCAGATGTTGGTGACGGGGTCATTGGGCTGCAGTGGAGAAGGAGATGCAGCGTCAAGGCCCAGAACAGACCCGCCACGCAGGCCAGGCGGGGACTGAATGGTGGCCCTGGGAGGTTGCCATCCTGGCCCTGCGGTGTGACGGGCACAGAAAGGCACTCCCAGGTAGGTAGGGTGATGCTGAAGCCTGGGGATGGCATGCGATCCTGATCCCGGACCACTGGGGGCCCAAAGTCACAGGGCTCTGCCAGGGCTGGCAGGCTAAAGTCACAGCAGCCTTGCAGTTAGACGAGGGGGCAATGCCAGTCTGCAGACAGCATGGGACCACAGCCAAGGACGCTGACCCGGCACGCAGCTTGACTAGGCCCTGTGAGCCCGACAGGGAGTTCTGACCTTGCAAACCCCGAGACGCTAAAATCTGTCCTGTGCTAAGCCACTAAGCATGTGGCAATTTGTCTCAGCAGTCCCGGGAAGCTGCATAGCCCACAGGATCCACTCAGCACCTCGCCAGCTCTGGGGCAGCAGGTGCTGGGTGCTGCGGAGACAGATGGGGGCCACGCTCTGCCAGATGTGGAGGTGACTGGGCAGGCACATGCCTTGGCAGAGATGCCAGGCCCTGGGCAGAGCTAGGCTGGCATCAGAGCTAACCTGGCCAGAGAGAGCTGCTTTGTCATTCTCAGGGATGGGGGCACCAGCAGGGCTGGGATTGGGGCCCTAAAGTCATGCTGCCAGGACAGACACCGGAGCAGCGGGAGGAATCCCTCATCTCAGAACTGGCCAGGGCCAGGCACTGGGAAGTGGAGCAGTATCCACCTTGGAGGCTTCCACTGACAGAAACCAGCTGCCTGCCAGCGCCTGCTGAGGGCTCACTCGGGAAAGAAGCCAGGGATGCCTGGCATGGAGGCCTAGGGCCGGGGGCTGTGGTAAGGGAGCAAACAAGCCTGGTACAGGCCCTCGCCAGGCTGGGAGGGCGGACGGAGGGCGCAGGTCCTCCTGAGTGGGGGTCCAGCCTGCTCCTCCACGCAGCCATCCTCAGCCCTCCTCAGAGCCGTGCCCGAGCCTGGCTCTCACGGGCACCCAGGCACCGCCGTGCTCCGACCTGTCCAGGCCGCTCAAGAGGCGAGAGCAGCCACTGTAGAAGAAGCTATGGGCAGACACAAGGCGGGGACGTGAGGGCTGGACAGAGGGCAGCCAGGGAGGAAGGGGCACGGGCCATGCAGGCAGCAGGAGTGACGCCGGCTCTGGTCCCAGCAGGTCAGGCCTGGAACAGTCGCTGGGAGGGAGAGAGGGCTGCTTCTAGCCCCTAACCCTGCTCCATTTCTGCAGTGGCCTCGGCAAGGGCTTCCGTCCTCTGAGTGACCCCACAGTGGACGCTACTGAGCTGCCAGCTCATGCCAGAAGGGGTGCCCACAGGACCAGCCTGATGGCAAGAAAGAGCCCCTCCCTGGGCCCCACTTTGAGGGCAGGACCCCTGCCCTCCATGCCCCCTGAAGCACCGAGCTGCTGTGGGGAAAGCTAAGGGGGAGGGTGTCCCCAGGTAATGTCTTCGCTCCCCACAGCTGAAGACTGGCAGCCTGTGCCCGCCACCGGCCACCCTTGCAGCCCTCTCCAGCCCAGAGCCTCCCTGCTGCCTGTGCCCAGCCCTGCTCCGAGCCAGGGAGGGGTCTGGCCCCATCACAACTGAAGGGCCATCCTCACGGGAAGAGGCTGCCTAGGGAACCCAGGGCCTTCTCCAGCTGGGCGCCTGGCCCATGGACAGAGTGTAGGTCAGAGCAGCACACGGGAGAGCCGGGTGAGCTCCTAGGGGCAGCGCTGATGTCCTCGGCCAGAAGTGGACAGTGGGGCTCAGCTCAGACACCACCCCAGGTCCTCACAGGATGGCACCACCCAGCATGCCTCATTCTGCACCAACATGTGCCAGGGCGGCAAGGGAAAGCATCTGTGTGCTGGGTCCACAACGCAGTGGCCGGTTTGGGCAGGCACAGATGCCGGATGGGCAGGGGCATCTCCGGAAGTGACATCTTAGCTGAGACCCAAGCCAAGCAGACTGGGGGGACCATGTGCCAGGTCCTGCGGGCAGCGGGGGCCGAGGAGGGGCAAAGGCCAGGGCAACTGGGAGATCTGCCTGGACAAGGGCTCCAGGTCCCAGCCCTGAACCCACACAGATTCAGACACTGTCCCAGATGCTGCACTGACCACGCTGGACAGATACAGGCCCCCAAGAGCCAGCTGGACCACACTGAGACAACAGCTGGCTGGAGGCTTGTGCGAAGTCCCCTGCCTGGACTCCCACAGTCAGAAATTGCCCTTACCCAGGGGCTGTGGCCAGCTCCTCAGCAGGGCTGTGACCAACAAGGTATCCCACCCAGATGAGCTTGCCAGAGGCCAAGAATCCCCAAAGCCATGCAGGTTCCTGTATCCTGGGCAGGTGGGGACTTAGAAAGCGGCTCGGGCACCATGCAGGACCCTGGCCACGTCAGGCAGGGACATTGTGGCACAGGGGAGCTGATATCCAGGGAGGGAAAGGCAGAGGCCAGCGGGTCTGACCCCGCAGCCCTGGAGACTCCAGAGCAGGGGAACCGGTGTCCACCCAGCCCTCACCTGGAAGCAGAATGGACAGCAGGTGGCCCAGAGGGCAGAAGCAGCCATGCCACGGCCACTCCTATGCCTACCAGCATGAGGGAGACTGGCTGGAAGGCCCAGAGCTGCTTGTGGCTTGTGCTTTGTGTCCGTTGATAAGGACAAGGAGGCACAGGGATATCACCGGCCTGGGGACACAGCAGGCAAAGCTGCCCGCCTGGGGAGAAGCTGGCCCCTCGCAGCTTCTTGGGGGACCATGCCCCCAGTGCCCACGGGGTCCTGGGGGCATGGAGGGGCTGGGCAGGAGCCCACTGTGGGACCACAGGGGGGACCAGGGGCCCCCAGCAGCCTCTAGGAGCCCTCTGCTTCCCCAGTTGCCCAGGAAAGATGACCAGCCAATGAAGATCCTTAGGGAAAGCGAGGCAGGCACCGAGGCTGACTCACCGAGCTGGGGTTCAGCCCCATGTTTGCCTCCACGTAGGTCTCCGTCTTGGGCTCCACAGCCAGCTCGGCCTCCAGGATCTTCTCCACCGGCATGTCCTCGTTGGCGCTGCTGGTCGACTCTACTTCACTCTCGCTCCGGTCCTTGCCCCGCTGCCGCTCCTCCTGCACGGCTGAACCCCGAGGCCGGTCAGCCTGGCCAGGGCCAGCTCTGAGCCCGCATGCCGCCCCCAGCATGCCCACCAGCCCTGCGCCTGCTCCGTGCCCTGCCTCTCACGGCTACGTGCTCTGATGATAAAGCCTGCCTCTCACAAAGTCCCCTCAGCGGACATTCACACCAGGAGCCTGCCCAGGAGCAGGGCAGACAGCCTTCCCCAGAGCTGACGGCCTGGCAGGGACCCTCGCTGCGAAGTCAGAGGCCGGCATGGTCTGTGGACTCAAGTAAAGCCAGGAAGGCCTCTAGGAAGAGGCTGCAAAGAGACTGGGAATGGTTCGGGCAGAGGAAACAGCACATGCCGAGCACCAGGGCCAGAGCCAGAGCCACTGTGCCCCTGACCAGCAACGGAGGCCACGCTGTGAGGGCGCAGGCAGGGTGACCGGCTCGGCGTCACACAGGCACGCCAACAAAGCTCTCGTGTGCCGAGCCCTACGCCTGGCACTGGCTCCGCCTCCTCCCTCCCCCACGGATCCGCTACCCTCGCCACAGCCACAAGGCTCGGAGGGCACAGTGGCCCAGAGAGTGAGCCGCAGGGATGACGGCAGGGCGCCCGGGGTGCCCGAGCCGCCTCCAGCCCTGCTCTACACCGCACTCAGCCAGGCAAACCCCCACCCCATGCCTCACCAGTGCCCAGGCATTCACAGGCACCAGCTCCTCTTCCACGTGCCCTCCTGCCCGCAGGCCGGGCAGTGGTCCCAGACCCTCGACCCGGCAGCCCCCAGTTCTCTGGACACTGTCCGCCCACCACCCCTCTGCTTGGGGCTGCACCCAGCCCTCTGTGCCCTGCTCTCCCGAGGTCCACAGACAACTGCACCAAGAGGCATTAGCAGGGCTGTCAGCAGCTGCCATGCCCCCAGGCCGTAGCTCCCTCTCCTGCCCACTCTGCCCCCTCCCTACAGCCCGGGGTGCAGTCTCCCGGCTGTGCGGGTCCCAGGGACCCCAGCCCTGCATGGCTCCCTTCCTGCCCACAGCTCTCTAACCATCCCATGTGGACGTCTCTCAGCGTCTTGTGCCCCTAGCTCCTTGCCAGCCACCAACCTCCCTTCCACTGGGGTCTGCTGGGTGCCTCTCCCGGGTCCCCACAAGCACCCTGAAGCCTCCCCAGAATGGGCCGGCCTTTCTAAGACCCAACAGCAGGGCTGAGCCAGGGCCCTCCTGCTCTCCCATCAAGATCCAAGGACAGCAGTCCACAGAGGCACCAGCCAGGAGCCATGCAGGCCGGGGGCCACCGTCCAGCAAGCCTGGCTGTCCCAAAAACCTGGCAGCAGCGGGCCCAGGCAGGCGGCTGGAGCTGCAGGCAGATGGTGCGGGCAGGGGCTGCCAAGGCTGGCCAGGCCCTGCCTCCCACCCTTCCACACGGTGAGCACTCATCCGGGGTGGGGTCACCCCTCCAGGGACACAGGTCACGGCCGAGGGGCCAGAAGAGACGACCCCAAGGGCGCCGAGCAGCCCACCAGCAGGAGGCCTCTAAACGGGCGATTATGACTGGAACCAGGCAGGCCTGTGGCCCTCAGCCCTGCAGAGGGGGTCTGGGCAGATGGGAGCCAAGTGTCTGCTCAACCACCTCCTCCTCCTGCCCGGGGGGCAAACTGAGGCTCAGAAAACTAGAAGGGGCGCAGCTGACATCTCGGAACTGCTCAGCCTCAGCTGCAGGCTCTGGATGGAAGCACACGGCCCCAGACCCGGACTGGGAAGCCTGCTCTACCTTTAACAGCTGTGTGGCCCCGGGCAAGTTCCCTAACCTCTCCGCACCCAGCTTCCTGTGACTGAGGGCACCTGCCGTGGGGTCTTCCCGCCCCACGTCCCCGCCAGGGCGGTACCGCCCAGCCCACAGCGGCCCTGAGCGCTGAGCCTCGCAGCGGCTGGCTTTCCCGGGAGCCCGCAGCAGGCGGTGGGGGGCGCGGGCGGCGAGAATTAATTAGCAAATGTTTTGTGAAGCACTTGGAAGCCGTGAAGGGCCCCAGCAGCTCTGAGCAGCATCATTATAAATATTATGGTTTTATTTATAGTCGGCGGAGGGGCAGGTGGAGCCGCGGATTTATGTTCTGCCAGCTCCATCACCTTTTAGACGCAGTCATGTTTGACTTATGCCCCACTGGCGCCGGGAAGCCTCGGGCGGCAGGCGTCTGTAAATACTGGGCCTCCTTATCCTCCCCAGGCCGGTGTGGTGCACAGCAGCCAGAGGCGGCGGGGAGGAGGCTGCGGCAGAGGCCTGAGACTGGATGGGAGGACTTCCCGAAGGCCTGGTCCTCCCCAGGAAGATCGGGACACAGGCTGAGCCTGGCGGACCCCTGCCCAGCCAGGGCCGCCCCTTCCCAGCTCAGCCAGGGTCCCCAACTGGAGACGCTGGCCCTGACTTAGAAAGCAGCAGGCCCACAGCCCCGGTGGGGTATGGCTGACTGCCATAGCCCAGGGATCAAGCAGGAGAGCCACCCCAGAGGGCAGGGTGGGGAGGACAGGCAGCACACCAGGAGGGGACAGGACACCCCAGCCCCCAAGGACACCCCAGCCTGTTTGGCTGCCAGTGGCTGTGTCCCTCCTCTGTCCCTTGTCAGCCCAAGGACCCCCGAAACAAGCACCACCCAATTCCACTAAAAAGCTGCAGGCCAACACCGCATCCAGGCACTGGAGGCCCAGACACGGAGGGTGTCCTCCCAGGGCCACAAAGCGAGCGGGGTCCTTCTGGTACAGAGGGGTTGTCCTCCCTCAGGGGATCCAATGTAGGACAAAGCACATGCTGACAGGCACACGCACACACATACATCACATGATAATGACGGACACACATACACACACAAATGCATGCACACCGACACATGCACACATATATGCAGACACATATACACAACCACACATGCACGTGAGTATACGCACACAAATACATGCACACACCGTGGGCATCTCTGCAACCCCACCCCCAGCCAAGCCACATCCTCCTCTGCCACGTGGGAACATGCATGTTCCCATGGGACAGATGAGGACACTGAGCTCACACAGGCCAAGTCACCTGCCCAGGGCCACAAAGCTGGCACTCAAACCTAGCAGGGGGCTCTTTTCCTACAGCGGGAACAGGTGGGGCTGCCTATCTATGGATGCACGCGCACGTGCTCACACACACACACTGCCCTTGCCATGCCCTGGTCCTCCGAGCTAGGGGACAGGGCACAGGAAGCAAAGGGAGGAAGTGGACCGCGGCCTTGGGCGGGAGCGGAGAACAGGGTGTGCACCGGGGATGCCCAGTCTATCCCCCCTCGAGATCCGCACACCTGCAGGCCCCCAGTCCTGCCTCCACCTTGCCCAGCCAACAGGCCTGGGCTCAGCCTGGTGATAAGCCAAGGCCGGGGCCTGGGAATGCTGCGGAACGAGTCCCTGGGGCTGCCTGCCGCGGCAGGCCCGGCCGTTGCCCAATGGAGATGCTATCGGCTGTGGTGTCCCTCACCGCCCAGCTCCCAGCTCCGGCTGGGAATCTCGCCCATCCTAGAGACAGGGTGGCCCCTCCTGGGAGCAGGGCCACCCCATGGGGAGACCTGGCCCCACCCGGTGGCGCCAACCCCAGCACCCTCCTGGCAGCTGAGTCCAGGGGACTGAGGGATGAGGCGGAGGGATGTGTGGGCTCATGTGGTGGCATCAAGCCAGTGGGCAAAGCTGCCCACAGCGGGCCTGGCATTCGGCAGGGTCAGACCTGACCCCTCCCCGCTGCTCATCCTGGGTTCCCTGCAGGGCAACTGTGGGGCTGCTCGGAGGCTGCCTATCCCAAGAGTGGGGCTGTGCACTGGGGGCCACAGGCTCGGGAGACTCCACAGGCCTGGGGTAGGCAGGGAGAGGTGCCCCACCTGCACAGAACCAGGTACAGAGTGGCAGGGCCCACCAGGCAGAGGAGCCACAACTCCTCCTCCAGCTGCCCACACAACCAGGGCTGCCGCCCACCAGGGGGGCCGCTTTGCAGTTGTTGTGTTTGGGGCACGAGAGCACTTTGTAGGAGGTTTTTACAGCACGTTCATGACTCATAAATCCAGCTGGAGACAAAGGGGAGGAGGGCCCTCGACAGGATCAGGTATTTATCTAACGGCCGTAAATCAAGCCTCGAGGCTGCTTGCTGCTGCCCGGCTGGGCTGAACACTCAGGACAGGGCGCTGCAAAGACGCTGCCGTCAGGGCTTGAGATCCAGCACATGGGCGCAGCTGGCCAGGCCACACCAGCCCCAAGATTCCCCAGGTACCCCTTCCCACGCCCGCCTCTCCACCCGGGAAGTGCGGACCGGACAGCGTTAGCACAGGCTGCAGGGCAGGCAGCACGTGGACTGCAGCAGGGGCACCAGGAGGGCTCAGGCCCCCGCCTGAGAGAGCAGCAATGACAGGTTGGAGTCACCCTCACCCAGGCTCAGGGGAAGCAGCCTCAGGAGTCTGAGAACAGCAGGCCCTGGGCAGCCTGGCAAGGAGGTGTGCAGGTTGAGGGTCCCCGCCCGGGATGAACCGCAGCCCTTCCAGGTGCCAGGCCCACGGTCTGAACTGCCTTCCCTCGGGTGCCAGCCTGGACACCCTCCCCCACCTGAGCTGTGTGCCTGTGCCCAAGGCTGGGCCAGGTGCCCACGCCCAAGCTCACAGCCGGCCCCCCCGCCCCCTTGGGGCCTGCCTGGTCACCTGCTGGACGCTTTCGGTGGCACAGGGCTCACAACCCTCTGCCTGACACACCTGGCAGCAAGCTCAGAGCGGGCTTGAGCACAAGGACAAAACCAGGCTGGCGAGATGCACAAAGCTCCGCCTCTGCCTTGGGCCCAGCCTCACACGCCCGCCCCTGGGCACACACCTGGCGCTGCCTGGCCCCGCTCACTCCCTGCCTGGTTCCCATCCTTCAGGGACCAGCCACACTCACCCTCTCCAGGAAGCCCTCCCTGACCACACGCAGCACCTACAGCAGCCAGGGCCTGCCCCACCTTCCCTGCTGGGGTGCTGGTTCCCTTGGCCTGTCGCCGGCAGAAGGAACAGGGGCAGAGGCCAGGGCACCAGCCCGGCAGGTGACCTTGGAGAGGCTTGGACGCTCTCACTCTCCCCACTGCACAGCAAAACACAAACCCGCAGGAACTCCCAGCGCTCTGGGAACTGTGCACCCCGATCAGAAAGGCCTGGCTCGCAACGCTCTGGGGCCCCACCTCCCCACTAGGAGCAGGACTTGGGCTGCCCAGCATCCCCATCCTTCATGGCTCACCCGACCCACAGCCCGGAGGGGAAATCACTGCGGGAGGGTGGCCCTCTGGGGTCTCAGTTTCCCGGGCGAGGCAGAGGCCAAGGACAGAGGAAACTGACAGAAGGACACACACGCAGCCCGGCGGCCACCACTCAGGACATTCACCATGGGGACAACAGTCTAGGGCCACTCCTTGGGGACCCGCTAGTGCTGGTGGCAGGAGACGACACCCTTTGCACCCCTGGTACCCACAGTGCCCTGTGCAGAACAGCAGGTCCTGTCCTGCCCCACACAGATGGGTGTGCTGCCCACAGGGACCCTGAAGCTCACATGCAGGGGTGCTAGGCTGTGGACAAGAGGGCTGAGCCCCAAGCCTGTGACAAAGAGGACCGAGGCCCAGGACGCAGGGAGGCTGAGGCAGGGTGAGCAACCCGACCACCGCTTAGACTCAGCTGCACAGCCCGTGCTCATCTCAGTAAAACAGGCTCCAGAGTCAGTGCTCTCCGAGGTCCTGTGGGGGGCCGGCTCTCACCAGGGCAGGACAGAACCGGAGCCTCCTCGAGAGCACCCCACACCCAGCGGCTCAGGGGACACACCGCCCAGGGCTCCAGAGGCCGCTCCCCCAAGCACCTCCCTGGCCGTTCCCTTTCTGGGCAGCTGGGCAGCCAGAGGACCCCGTGGCACACACGCACACACAGGTGCACTCCTGTCCCACACGCGGCCCTGCCCCCGGCCCAGCCCCCGCTTTGCGGGGCCCCTCGGGCACTGTGGACGTGGCTTTGACAGCACGGGCGCACGGGTGCACGGGCTGAGGGGCTGCGCTGCTCACTGCCCACCCGAAGCAGGGTGTGGGAGGGAGACAAGTGCCCCTGGCCAGCTGCAAGGTCCAGGCTGGACTCCACGGCCAAGCCCCGCCACGCTGAGCGGATGTGGCGCGTGCGGGTCCCGCCACGCCCACCCCCACCTACCTTCCCGCTTCATGCCCATGGCCAGGCACTTCTGGTAGCGACAGTACTGGCAGCGATTGCGCTGCCGCTTGTCAATCAGGCAGTCCTTGTTGTCGCGGCAGGTGTAGGTCAGGTCCTTACGCACGGTCCGCTTGAAGAAGCCCTTGCAGCCCTCGCAGCTGTACACGCCGTAGTGCTTGCCTACGGCAGGAGCGGGGACGTGAGCGAGGCCGGCCGGGGGCCCACGAGGGCTGGGTCTGACCCCCGCCCGGGCTCACTGGGCCCCGCCTCACCCTCCTGCTCATCTGAGGGTGGCCACCCTGTGGCTGCACCTTCGGGTTGGGAGTCCTGGCCCGAAAGAAGCTTCGGGGCAAAACATTGCTTCTGTCCCAGGCTGTGGGGTTTGGGGCCATCATGAAGGGGCTCCATAGAGCCCTTGGTCACCCTCGCTGCCCCTTACTGGAAGCCTTGGGATAGATGCCACCCTCACTGGTCTCCCCACGCACAGACAGGACAGTGGGGCACGGAAGGGACACCCTGGTGCCTACCTCCCCACCCTGCACCCTGCTGTCCCCACCCACCTGTGGCCCTACCTGAGGAACGGTCCCCGCAGATGGCACAGATGTGCTTGGTGAAGGACGCCATGTTCCCTGAGGGGTGGGCGGGGACCTTGAGGACGCCATTGAGCCCCAGGGGGGGCTTGATGTCCTCGCTGCTGCTCACGGGGTTCATGGGAGAGCTGAGCTGCAGAGAAATGGCCAGGAGGGTCAGTCTCAAGCAGGCTGGTGCTAGGCACCTGTTTGGCCCAACCCCGCATACCTCCAACAGCCCTGCAGCACCCCCACTTTACAGACAGGACACACAGCCAAGGGACCACAAGGCTGTCATGCTCAGGAAGGCATGGCTCTGCCCAGACCCTTCGCCCAGCCAGCCTCAGGGTCCCCATCCCCTGCTAAACCCCAGGCCACTGCAGACTCCCACACCCAGGGACCCCCGGCCCCACCCTGCAGAGGAGGGTCCCACCAAGCCCCCAGGGGCTGCCTGTGGTCACTGAGCCCTGGCTGGGTGCTTCCTGGTGAGGCAGGCAGAGGAAGCCTGGGTCTCCCCAGCCATGTGCACCCTGTGCACATTGCGGGGCGGTCACCTTGCACTGCCACAGGGCAGGAGGGGCGAGCTGGCACCCAGAGGCACTGGGCAGCGTCAGCCCCTCAGCCCCTGCATACCCCTCCGCCCCACCCACCAGCCGCCAGGGCAGGCGTGGGAAACTCACCCGGTCGCCCTGGCAACAGCTGCAGCGTGCAATGACACAGCAGTTTTGGTTCCGCTGCCTCCAGCCCAGCTCTGCAGTCAGCACACTGGGCCGGAGGCACCGGCAGCCCCGCATCCCGCCAGCCAGCCCGTCTGCCGGGCACGCAGCCCCAGCTGGGCAGCCCCCCACTTCTGCAAACCCCCAGCAGAGGCGGAAAGCGAGCTGCACAGCTGTCTCCAGCCACCCTGCCCTTGGGTAGCCCCAGGCCACCCCCACACATGAACTTCACCTCCTTCCTTCCTCAGAGCCCTGAGCCCCATCCCCCTTCCTCACGGGACAGGAGGGATGCGCTCAGTAACCAAAGCCTCCTTTGCCTGGAGCCTGGGCACCCAGAGGAATTCCCCAGTCCACCCGGATGAGAGCACTGAATTCCTGAGGGCCCCAGGTGAGCTGCGGAGAGGCCGGCCCAGAACAGTGGGTGTCCAGGGTCCCCATCCGGCATAGAGCAGTCCGTGTGTCAGTCCCTGAATGCCCCATGTGCTGGGCCCCAGACATCAGGAGGGCATGCTGGGCCCCCCAAGCTTGTGCCCCGGCAGAGGAGACCCAGGGCCAGAGCCTGGTGGGGGGTCCCAGCCTCAGTGACACAGGCCTAAGCCTGCGGGACAGTGCTAGGGAGGAACCTCGCTCATTTCCTCTTTCTGTGGCTGCCCCAAACCACACGGCGGTCTACACACGGTCTCCTGCACACACCCCTGCATGCAGGCCCCAGGTAAACTGAGGCAGGGCCAGAGCAGGGAAGAGGAGTGGGGAGTCAATTCCCAGTCAGTCCCCGCCAGGCCGAGGCTCTCCCAGGACATCTCCAGCAAACCAGAAGCCCTGGACAGCCCTAACGGCCTGGGAAGGCTAAAGGCCAGGCTGGGGTCCACACTGCAGGGCCTGGGGCCACCACGGGGCTCTCGGCAACCAGGGTGGCGAGCGGTGGTGGGGTGGGATGGGGGGGATGTCTTTCTGCCCTGCCCAGCACCAAGCCAATGGGTGCAAGTCCTAGACTCAAAGCTCCCAGCGCCAAGCACAGGGAGCTCCCCACAGTCCCCCACGCCGGAGGCTTCGGCAACCCCAGTGGTGGCCCTTCTGTCCTTCGCTGGAACCCAAGCCCTCGCAGCAGGGTGGGGGCTGCCCACCCATTTCCTCTTTCAAGTCCTTGGGGTACATTTCAGTTCCCGCCTCACCAGCGCCCCACCCGGCCCTGCCCATCTCTCTGCTCCTTTCTCCCCACCCACCACACCCTGTTCCCCCAGGTCCACCTCCCAGGCCACCACCCTCACCTCTGCCCTCGAAGCCTCCTGAGCACGGCTCTGCCCAGCCCACTGCTCGGGGGCAGCCCGGCCTCAACCAGGGACACCCTTCCCGGCTGACCACACACCCCCGAAGTCCACCCACACTGGGACGGAGCCGCATGTTCCAGGGCAGCCAAAGTCTCTAGGGGCCGGAGAGCAAGGACGGGCTCAGACGGTGCAGCCCGGGAGGGAAGGCCAGGACACTCGGGGGTCTGCTCCGCCCCGCCAGCCTCAGGGTGCCTGCTGGGGCCCTCGCTCACAGCCAGGTGTCAGTCAGATCCTATGGTACGCCCTTCCTCTCAGTGCATGGGAAGTGACAGAGTAGGCCCAGCATGGCCCCAAAGCCCACCCCCTCCCAGAGCTGCCCACCACCCTGATGCCTATCTTGGGCAGCACAGGCAGTGCCCAGCCTCATGAGCTGTGAGGCCAGCAGGTGCCCCCTGCAGGGAGGCCAAGCTCATGCATGCAAGTCTTCATCTGCCCTCACTGCGTGGCACCAGCCTCAGCAAGAGTGGGTGTGGGGCAGTCATGCTAAAAATAGCATGGCCAGGCCCAGCGAGTTGGCTGGGCCTCCCTTGTGCCAGCAGCTTGGGTCTCTGCTGGAAGGCCCGGGGACATAGGGGCCGGGGCAGCACGCCCCTGGGCAGGAGTGCCAGCTCTTCCCGCCCATCCCCTGGGGCCAAGGGCTTGCAGTTGCCCTGGAAAAGCCAGGGAGGTTCTCCCAAGGCGAGGACTAGAGAGGGCACAGAGACGGACACTGGATGGCTCCGACGCTGAGCACACCCCAGACCTGCTGGCCAGGAGCAGGAGGGCTGTGGGAAGCTGGGGGAGTCTATGGGCACAGGGGCCTGGGAGTCCTGGGAGGCAGTTAGCTGCCTGGCTCCGAGCAGAGCCTGCTCTGAGGGTTCTCCCAGGATGAGGCTGTGAGATGGCCACAGAGCTCTCTGCCGCGGAGCTTAGCTACGGGGGACAAAGGACTGCACCCAAGCACAGAAATCACAGCAGGCAGGGAGGTCCCCAGCCTGTTTAGGAAGGGTAGATGGGACCCCCAAGAGCCAGCAGCCAGGTGGAGGACCTGGAGCACATCAAGGCAGAAGCCCAGCTAGAAATCCAGCAGGAACCACGCAGCAAGCACCAGGGGGAAGCTCAGCTCCTCACTGGGAGAGCACCCCCCAGACCATGCCAAGCCCTGCCAGCAACAGCTGCTTCCGGATCCAGAAGTAACAAAAAAGCCAGGCAGGTGGTGGAGGAGAAGCATCTGACCCGACCCAAACTGCTGAAGGTCCCCAAGCCCTGTGCATGCCGGCAAGGCCACCAAGCACCAGGGCCTTCGTGCCTGCATGGAGCCTAGACACCCTCAGGTGCCTGCAGGGCCACTGAGACTACCATGCATGAGCAAAGAGGATGCAGCTCGCTCAGCCCGGGACGAGGCCCCAGGCTGCAGAGGTAGAGCCTCCCAGAGCCCCTCCAAGCTCCCCAGAGCCCCCAGGTGGGGCAGGACCCCGCCAGGCAGAGAAGGAAGCCCAGGTCCAGGGCAGCCAGAGCTGGGCAAGGCCCTGGCCAAGCGGGCAGATGAGGCCCACCTCCCGCCCCCCAGCCCCACCCTGCCTGGGCCCTGCACTCACCTGGGGACTGCCAGTGCCGAAGCCCAGGGTGGGCGTGGTGGGCACCGACATGGAGTGGGGGCCCATGGGTGAGCTGATGACGGAGAAGGGCGGGCCCATGCCATTGATGGGCGAGCTGAGCGTGCTGATGGGCGAGTGCAGCTGCCCCGGGGAGCCCAGCGAGGAGCCGATGGAAGGGCCCAGTGCAGGGTGCAGCGAGGGGGCGGCCATGGAGCCCCGGCCCGTGGGGGAGTTGAGCGACGAGGAGTTCACTTGGGTGGAGAAGTCTGCAAGACAAGAATCCACAGGGGGGGTCAGAGAGGCCCACGGAGGTCATGCCACCCACCTGCACCCTGGGCACACACAGGCTCACGGGAGACCCCATGCCCAACGTGGCCTGGTGGTCACCAAGGCCAGCACATCCACACCAGGCGGGAATAGGAGAGCCCGGGGCAGTGCCAGGAAGCAGTCTGTGCATAGTGCAGAGAACACAGGGCATGAGAAGAGGCACAGCAGACCCTACCGGTACCCACTCTACAGATGGAACAAGCAAGGCCCCGAGGGCTCACAGCTGCCCGTGTGGAGCTAGGATGGGCACCAGAGGCTCCAAAGCTATGGCCACAGTGCCCAGGCCTTGCAGCCCCACCAAGGTGGCCACAGATGCCAGCCTTCAGGCCGCCGATTCACAAGAAGCCCAGAAGCAGGAGGCGGCACCTGGCACCTCCTGTGTGGGTGGGAAGCTTCCGGGCAGCCTTGGGCAGGGACCACCCACACGCCAGCCTTTTATGCTGGGACTTCAAAGCCCTGAACGTGCACGTCGTTAGGCCCCACCCTAGAGGCTGCCGAAGCCCCCAAGTGGCGCTTCCACTGCCTCTGGCCAGACCACCCATCAGGGAGACACACGGGCCCGCAGGCAGCAAGGACCAGGCAGCTCAGCCCATCCTGGCCGCCTCGCCGAGAACTCATGTCCTTCTGGGAAGCCGGACAGTCGCACAGCACGAGGGGAGGCTGTGACTGAACATGGGTGCCCCAGAGTGGGGACACGGGCCTGCTGCACCGCGCGGCACCCACGAGGCCTCCACCACCCTAGACCTTACCCTAGACCTTACCCAGGCACTGCGGCAACAGTGCCCCGGTGCAGACAGTGACCCTACACAGTCTCCAGGACATGCCACCAGCCTTTGGACACCACTGCCACCGCGGCACAGCGCTCAGACTGCCCGGCTCCAGCCAAGGCCCACGCCCTCCCCCAGGTCTCAGGAAGCCAGGGAGGTGCTGCACATGAGGGACCCCAGCAGCTCTGCCAGCGCCAGCACAGAGGCCCCAGGGCCCAACTCCACGGAGGCAGCTTAGCTCATCCCGCAGCCGCCTGCGCACTTCCTCCTCGACCGGGGCGCAGGGCACAGGACAGGGGCCTGGGTTCCGGGTCAGCCAGACACCCAGGACCAGCTCCAGCTGCGGAGGGCAGGGCCTGGCTGCCACAAGTAGACTCGAGGGACACACTCTGTAGACAACAAAGCCCCAACCAGGGGCCTCTGCAAACCACTGGGAGCCTTTGCCCCTCATGTCAGGAACAAACCATTTCCTCAAACGTCAAAACATCAATGTAAGGAATTCTAGAACTAGGCAGGGGACAGCGAGCAGCCAGATGGGCTCTGCAGGTCAGCCCCATTAGCCATCATGCCCCTGGATGAGGAGGACCTCGGAGACTGAGGGCCCCTGCGCAGGGAATGAGCCCAGGAGGGCCTGGGGGCGCCCAGGGGCTGGCCACAGAGGACAGGCACAGGGTGCCCAGGAGACACAGAATCAGCCACTTGAGCGTCTGACTCGCCTCCACACCCCTGATGTCACGGAACCCCTGCGACCCTGCCGAGGAAGCCACCACCACCCACCTCTGACACACGGGAAACACACAGAGAAGGTGCCAGACGAGGGCCGCCCACGGGCACACGTCCTGCGAGCCGCAGCTGCCCGGGCCGAGCAGCACGGTCATTCCCACAGGCACCAGCACAGCCCCACACGAGGAATCGGAGCCAGCTCTCCCTTCGCAGGCCTCGGTTTCTCATCTGCTCTGCGGGTGTGCGCGGCAGGCCAGTTCTGCCGAGCCCAGAGCCCCGCCAGCCATGCCCTGCACTCCATCCCGTCCCCACAGCACAACCGAGAGACCCCTGCCAACTTTGGGCAGGCAAGCTGACGGTCGGCCAAGCCCTGCTGACCTCCCCATCCGAGGCAGGGGCAGCTACGTGGGTGTCGGGGAGGCTGGGCCGGTGGGCACTCGGCCTGGAATTGCCCAGCAAGGCCCTAGCCGCCTCCCTCCCCGCCCCGAGGAAGCTACCCACCCCCCCGTCTTCCTGGCCTCCCAGAACGCGGTGGGGAATCTATAGCCAAGCAGATGCCCACCTGGGCTCTCCTGGCTTTCGCACACCACCACCGGCTCAGGGTTCATGGAGGACTGGCTGTTGGGCCCTGTACTAGGGGGTGAACTGGCCAGCTGCTGCAACCGCTGGGCAGCTTTTACTTTACTTCAATACTGCAGACTGAACCCAGGGCCTTTGCACTGAGCTGCATCCCCCACACATTTTTATTTTGTATTTTGAGACAGGGTCTGCCTGAGTTGCCCAGGCTGGGCTCAAACTCAAATCCTGCTTCAGCCTCCCATGGCGCTGAGGTTACAGGCAGGCACCACCACCCCCAGCTCGGGCAGGCAGCTCTCCTCAGCCAGCTGTCCCCAGACAGGGAGGTCTGGCTGTGCCCACCAGGAGAGAGTGGCCCTCCAGAGGGAGCCGAGCCAGGGAGCAAGGGCGCTCTCTCGGCCTCAGGCTCCAGGCCGTACCCCTCAGCCCACCAGGAGGCACCAGGCAAAGGCTTGGCTCAGCTGGCCCCTCGTGGGCAGCCTTGGCACAGCTGGCTGTCTGCTGACCTGCTCTCCCCAGCAGGAAGAGGAGGGAAGGACAGGAGAAGACCTCACCGGAATGGAGGGAGGGAGGTTTCTGGCTGCCAGCTACCAGGCTGCACCCCAAAGCTCCCCCAGGGCCCCACTGAGGCACCCACATTTGGCCCAGGTTTGAGAGGGTGCTGATCAGACAGAGGGGAGAACTGGTCCCGAAGGCACAGGGGAGAGGGGCAGCAGAGACGGGAGGGCCCCACTGAGGTTCCTGGCCGGCCTGCCACAGCCCCTGGCTCAGATGCAGGGCCCAGCGCCACAGTGAGCCCCAGGCCCGGGGTGCACAGGGGTGGCCACCCCGGAAGTGCCTGCCTCACCCAGCCACTGCCCCCAGGCTCCAGCCTGGGCCCTCCCGTTGGCACAGGCTGTCCGCGGCGGATGCCTTCCCAAAGCCAGGCTGGGTGTGTGTCTGCAGCCTTCGGGACAGAGCCACTTTCAGGCCCAGGAGGGAACGGGCAAAAAGCACCCCAGCACCCTCGGCCTGAAGAGAAAGGCCTGCCGCCGCTGAGTACCTGCGCCTAGGCCTTCCAGGCTGCCAGCTGACCCACCCGGAGCTGCGGCCTCGATGGCGCGGACCCTCCACACGCACAGCCCTCCAAGCCCTGCATGGCACAGGGGCCTCCAAGGGACATAACCCAGGAGACAGTACCAAGTCACCGACTCCTGAAACCACAGAGCCTGAGCCCAGGAGCTCAGAACCTCACACCCGCAACACCCCGCACCCCTGCAACTACTGCGACCAGGACTGGGAAAGGAAAGCCCGCTGGGTCACTCACAGGGACCTCCGGGCATGCAGGACAGGAGAGAGGGCAGCAGACACAGCAGGGGACATGCCCAAAGGCCCACGCAGGCAAAGCCATGGCGCAGCCCAGGAAGGCCTCCTGGAAGAGGCGGTGCAGTAACTCCCCTTGGTGCAAGACTGACTCAAAGCCAAAAGCCCGGTGGCAGAGATGCCCCCTGCTGCCCAGTGCCCAGAGGAGGCAGGGAAGCTCCCCAGGCCCAAGGCACGGCCATGGGGAGCCAAGGTGACATTCACTAAAACTAAAATAAAGAATGTTCTCACCCTAATCGCTGCCCCACGGTAGCTGGTGCTGGGAGGAGGTGCTGGCGGCCCCACAGGGTGTGCCTGCTGATGCACTAGATTCCTAGTGGCCCGGCCCTCCCTGAGTGCCCACCAGCACCACCCCTCCCCCGCCCAACACCACAGGAAGCCCAGGGAACCCCCACACCCCCTTCCGGCCTCTGCCTGGCAGGCAGGGGAGGCAGGCATGGAGGTGGCAGGAAATACCAGCCCCATGCAGCGGGGGCGGGGGCGTGCCCAGGCATCCAGCCCCTCTTCCAGCCACCAGGGACCTCCCGGCGCCCCCGGCCCTCTGGTATCCCCAAGAGCAATCAGGCCACCGGCTGGGCGTAAACAGAAAGGCCCACTGTGCTGTGGTCCAGGGCCAGCAGGACGTCCTAGAGCAGGAGGTGGGGCTGAGGGGCAGGGCTCAAGGAGGAGCGGGGAGCCAGCACCCAGACAGGGCACAAGCACCCCCATCCCTGCCTGGGGACCCCCCGGAACCGAAACCCTGTAGTGGGCAGCTCGTGGGCCCCCAGAGCTTCCTGAGCCACCCACCTCCAGCCCCCACCTTCCGGAAGTACTGCTTCCCCTGCTGCCAGGGCAGGGAGAAGTGGAGGCCCTGGCAGGGACAGGCACGGGAAGGCGGCAGGGACCACGGCGCGCCGGGGTCTGGGGAGAGCCGAGGGTGGTTACAGCAGAAAGAAGGAAGCACACAGGCCCGTGCCGGGGGAGGCTTCGGGAACAGGCACTCGGCACGTGGGCAATGAAAATGATCCATGGGGCTCACTGCCCTCTGGCCTAGGGACCCCGGCAATCCCATAACCTTGCTGAACCTCAGTTTCCCCTTCTGCAAAATGAGCACGCCAACAGTGCAGGCGGCTCTGACCACACAGAGGAAGAGCCCCGAAGGCCCCCTCAGCTCTTGGTCCTCCTGCCAGCCCGCACCCCACCTTCCCGCAGGGGCAGCAGAGATGGAGCCGTCACCTCCCGCTGGGAAGGTGGCCCACCGCTGCCGCCTGCCTAAGTGTCGGCTTACAGCTCCAGTGACCCAGGCTGAAATTTCAGCTCTCCTAGGGTCACCTCGGCCTTTCTTCAAACATGGGGCCCAGCCCCAAATCTCAGCCCCTTGCGGAAGTCCCAGCGCCAGGGCGGCCACATAGTGGTTCAGGAGAAAAGTGGGTCCTCCCAAGGACCCTAGGCCCCAAAGCAGAGAACACAGGGAAGGAGACCTCGGCTCCCCAGAAAACACTGGACACCCACAGAGTCCGGAGCTCAGGCCC